AAGTAAAAAGGCTTAAGTTTTTCAGTATTAAAAGTAAGAAAAAAGAAAAATTGAAAGCAAGGGCTTGAACAGATATCTGTACATCCATATTTATGTCGCATTATTCACATAAGCAAAAGGTGGAAACAACTGAAGTGTGTACTGACAGATGAATGAGTAAACAAAAAGTGGTATCTCCTACAATGGAATATTATTTAGCTTTTAAAAAGATGAAAATTTTGGCACATGTTACAACATGGATGAATCATGAAAATAAATGCCAAGTGAAATAATCCAGACACCAAAGATCAAATAATGCATGCATGATTCTACTTATTTGAGGTACCCAGAATGATTGAATTCACAGAAAACAAAAAGTAGAATGTAGTTGCCAAGAAATTTGGTAGAAAGGATGGGGAGTACTGTTTTTGTGAATACAGAGTTTCAGTTTTGCAAAATGAAGGGTATTTGGGAAGTGTTTATCATGAAGATCTTTTCTAAAAGGAAAGTTTGAATTGTCTTCTGGTTTTTGTAATTTTCTGTATTTTTCTTACTTTTATTATCAATGTATCTTCTTAGTTGTTTGTAACATAAATATTATGAGTAAATATTCTAGAAGACTGCTAAGTTTGAATTTTTATATCTATTGTTTCCTACTTCTATGACTTTGACAACTAATTTATTTGCCTCAGGTCTCAATTCCTTGAACTATGAATCATCAAGCAATCCTGACACCTGAAATTCTCATTACTGGATTTTATGGGTTATTGAGACACAAAATTGGGCATGTACAATAGCAATCTGGCTTAAGGAAAAATGGCCCAAAAGAGAACAAACTCAAGCAGATCAGGATGGCAGATTTAGATGCAGAAGCATGTAGTTCTGCTAGGTTACGGCCTTTCCTCTGTTGCACGTCTATAGTTTCTCTGTTGCTTTTTATGACTAACAATTTTAGAAGGGAGAGACCAGATTTTTAAATGGAGATTCGTCAACAACAAAAAGTTGACAGCTTAATCCTTAAACTCCAATCAAGGGTGTTCCTAAAAGAAAATAATGAAAAATTCTCCAATGGTAAGAACATTTGATTATCCATTTCATCTGGACAGATTTATATTAATTCATGGCTATTTGCTAACAGCTTGGCTGTGTTAAATCCATTACAGCATGAAAAGATTGTGGAATAAGCATCTACTTTGGATAGGTATATTCTACTAATATGTAATTGAATATGTAATTCTACTAATAGTGTTTCTGCCATCACCATTAATTGTGAACTTACAGAATTAATTACTCTCCATCAAGATATTTCACATAGCATTTGTTTTTCCAAGCAATTAACTCATTCACTGTTCCCTTGATCAGCCCTGAACAATTGTAAGGGTGCTCCTTATAAGCCTGAAAACTGCAAAAGGGACTTTTGGGGGTCTAGCCAATGCAAGCAAGCCAAGTTAAAGGAAGAACAGGAATGTCCTCACATCCATGGAAATTGCTTATCTTACCATGAACCTTATTACCTGAAGCAACTAGCCTGATGGAATAGTGAAAATATCCAGTGAAATCTCAACCAAACTATGATTTCAGTGTAAATGCTCTAAATAGATTAGAGTGCATCTTATGAGGTGCATTGTGGGCATAAGTAACTAATATTTGGTTTTGCTTTTTCCTATAGTCCAAATACATAGGTCCAAGAATCGAAATGTGGAAATGGGGACACATTTTTCCACCCGTAAAATTTTCATTTTTGCTCATTGGAAGACTTAATTGTGGAGGAAGAAATGTTTCCAATAAGAAACATAACAGTGATTCAGTTGATTTCAAAGCTCGCACAGTATGACTATTTTAGGATCCTGTGCCACTGAAACTATAGGTAGGAAGGGAGGTCTTTCTACTCTCTGAGAAAACTGATCCTGATTGCTGAAGGGGAATTGGGGTGAGGTTGCACAATAAGGTAGAAATGACTATGTCTGGAATACATGAGATTCTCTGAAGGGCTACTGAATTCTTTCTGTGCAATAATAAAATAAATATAAAACTCCGGAATTAACAGAAGGAGGGTGGCTGAATATTTGAATCCTACAAGAATAAAGTTGGCATTATCCCAACAGGTCAATAAACCTTACCTGGTGAGGTTCTGATTGAGAGAAAAGAAAAACAGAATTGGTAAGTAGAAAAAGGAGGCTTTTACAGTCTCATTATTGGTCACAAAGGCAAAGACTGGGCAACTATGCCTCTTTTCCTTTCTTGTCATAACTTTAGTCTTCCCTCTATTTTTTATATAATAATTGGTGGCAACTGACAGGTGGAATTTATTGGATTTGAAAAATATTCACCATTGAACAGGAATGAGTATATAGGCTATTAGAGAAATAGAGATAAGTTTTAAGAATTTTTCTCCTTCTTACTCAGAGAAAGGGTAAGGGTGTCTTTATTTGTATTAAGGATAAATGCATCTTATTAAGCAAAAGCATAAAATTATCTTTCTTTTTAAATAGAGTCCAAATATATATGTTGTGTCTTATAAGATAACCTAACCTTTTTAGGATGTGTATGCTGAAATCATAGTTTAATTGATTAGTGCACAGATGCCAAGCGGCCAAAGCCAAGGCTGCACTGGTTATTAAATGATTGTCACTCATCTTGAAATGCACAGTTATCTGCTCTGCTTTATGATTCTGCCTTTGCAAAGTAGCTGCCTGTTAAGCTGCCAATAAGGAATACAGCAGGGACACTGGAAGGTTGGAGGAAGAGAAAGAAACACATTTCTTCCTAACTCCTGTGCCTCTTGCAGTTCTTCATTAGATTTCAGTGCTACAATGGGTTCCATTTTATGGTCCCCAATCCCACTTCCAGAACCAGCCTCATGATGCTCCCATGGAGATACCAACACCACCTGAACAGTGTCCCTTCCCTCCAGGGATAAACTTAAATTTCTTGGAACCCCTCCTTGGAGCTCTTGTAGGGCCAACAATAACTAAGCAATCCCTCCTCAGATATCTGGGTCTCAGTTCCAAGGGATCCCTCATCCAGCCTTCTAGTAACCTGACCTTTTCCTTGTGTTCCCTTGTTATAGTTAAAGCATCTTCCCAGGGTTTCATAAACTGACTTCCAGACCACTCACGTATAATCGAATTAAGCCTTTATTGAAGCACACCGGTGGTGACTGTCCAGAACATAAAGCTGTTCCCCTGATCAGCCCTGAACAATTGCAAGGGCACTCCTTATAAGCTTGAAAACCGCAAAAGGGATGTTTGTGGGTCTAGCCAATGCAAGCAAGCCAGGTTACAGAAGCGGGAGAGTTCAGTCAGGTGGAGGGGCACTTGGCCAATCATAATTAGCCCAGTCACCTCAGTTACAAAAACAGAGCCTCATTACCCTAGTTACAGAAACAATGCCCCATTAGGTAGTTACGTGTTCTTAAAGGTTTCTATAGCAAAAGGAAAAGAACATCTTGCCCTGGTCATGACCCTTCTACTTGGCATGGTTGTTTTACAAAATGGAGTTACTAAACAAAATGGAGTCACTTTGGTTTGACTATCACACCCTCAGCCTATGGATTTTAGCTGCTTCCTGAGATTTCTATCTCTGTTGACTAAATGTCTCCCTTTGGCTTTTTCTAACCTCAAATACCTGGTTAACAATTTTTTTGTTTTAAAGTCTCAATGAAAATAGAGGGTGAACCAAATAAGGATACCAGTTGTATGACTTTCAGGTTGGTAGGAAGAGAAAATGAACCAAAAGGAATAAAGGATTTATAGACATGCCTCTCACATAGTAATTACCATGTACAGTCTTAGCTATTATTATTCATTCAAGGTCTGAGTCTCCTGTTAGACTATGCTCCATGAGGATAGGGATATAGCTATGGTATCCTGGCATTGCCTGGAACATGGTATGTTTTGAATAAATATTGTTAAAGTGATTGAAAAATAGTTTGCTTGGGAGAGAAAGAAGGAAAACAATGTGGGTATGCAGAAATGTGATTTTTTTCCCCCAATGGGAATTAATCAGTTTTTGCAGACTTCATTATACCAGTTGGTTAGGAGCCAGACTCATCATATCAATGCTCCAACTCCTCTTTTCTACCAGGGTGCTAGAATTACACATTGTGGAGTGTGTGAGAGATGGAGGTGGGGTGGGAGAGGCATGTACTCATGGCGTATCTGTCTATAAATGTTATTATGAAATGTCTGATGGCCAGATCTAAATGGCATCCTTGACTTCACAGCTCTCAGCTTCTTCTGTGCCATGCTTCAGGCACATGAATATTTGCATTGCTGCTTGTGGTCTCATCTCCTTGGAAGCCTCCTGTAGCTCTTCTCTGTCTAGGGCTTGATGCTCTTCATAAGTTTGCCAGGGAATCTGGTATTGGCACATTGTCTAGAATGTCACAGATTTCTTCTCTTTTGCATCTTCAGCCCCCAGTGAGAAAGAATGGCCCAGTCATTCCCCAATCACTCTAGAAGGCAGGATTTTTTTCTCTTTGTGTCTCTTGTACAAGTTCCTCTCTATGTCTAACCTTCTTGATGTAGGAATAGCATTTATATACAAAATCTAATAACACTCAAACTCTTTTCACTTTGCCACATTCTTCCTGATGAAGCCAGTTTTATATGCTTTAATTTGGTGGGATAAGAAAGATGATACAAGGGGAAAAATGGGAAAAAATTAAAATATCCTGCCAAAGAAGGAAGAAGAGAAGCACAGAAAAGAATAAGAGAATGCCTTTTAAAATTTAACTATTCCTAGCACTTGGTAATATAGTGGAAGTACTAGGTTTTGTAGCAACATGAAAGATATATTGATCTTACTCTCAAGTTTTTTTTCCATTCATTTATTTTTTAAAATTTCTGGTAGCAGAGCAGAGACTCTAGAGAAAAGGAGAGTTTATTCTTTCACAGGCAGAAGGCAAAGCCATGTGTTTGCAATCCTCCTCTGCAGCGTGGCTTTGTAGGAAGTCATTGTGGAGAGGCTGAGACAACAATAACACCCAATTGTTGGAGCCACAGAAGGACCTGAAGCTTTTAAATGTTTTCATTGCACAGGTCGTAGCTTCGGCAGCACCTGAAGTTCACCAGATAGGTGCTCCACTTTATGTTTTCCACGTTAGCACAGTTCTTTAGGCAGCCCATGAAAGTTAACCAGGGTTTACCATTCTCTGTAAAAGGGATGAGGACCAGATCAGCAAGTTTGACTCTAAGGCTTCTGCAAAAATATTTCTCTCCAGCCCTATACCAGCTGTAGGGATTCTGACCATGGAAATATACAGAGAAGTGTCCCTCGGGTGAGCAAACTCCTGGGGGGGGGGGACATGCACTCTGTCTCCCACCCTCAGGATACCCTGCAGTTTCTCCTAGGAACTAGTAAAAATAACTAAATACATGTGCAATGTCTAGCTGCTATGGCAATGCCCTGCTTGAAAAGGCTCTGTGCTCGAGTCTGATACGCCTCAACTTTGATCTAAGACACACAGCTCCTGGGAATAATATAACTCTCTTGTTAGATAACCACAATGTTTCACTAAGCCTAAACCTGTCCACATAACAGTAACTTTATACAATGGACTTTCTTGAGAGCTACACAAAACTCCTAACATTGCAATTTAGTATGTAACTGAGGAATAAGCTGCATAATGTTACTGAGTCTATAACTTGCCTAGTAATACAGTGAACAATATGTACTATGCTGCCAATGACCTAAAGTAACCTATTGATATAAATAAAGTTTGGCAGCTTGGCCTCTCTGCCATTCTGCCATCTTTCCTGCCTCTGCATCTAAAAATAAGCTTGTGGAATTCATGGCTGTTTTATTCAAAGGATTAGAAGATGTTGCAAGTTGGGAGCTTCCCCAAAAGAAAAGCAATGATGGAGCAGTTTTTAGAATGTATTGGAGGTGGGGGAGATAGCACAGCAATTCAGGGATTTCCAAAGCTGAAGGTTTCTATTGAAAATCTCAGTAGAAACAAAAGTTACCAAAGCAAAGGTATTGCACAACACAGAAGGTGGAAAACTAAAGAAATCCAGAATCTAGACTTACCCATCAAGGGCCATTTAGCCAACGCCTATTGCTAACACTGTACTCTATTTTCATAGGTTATTTCCATTCAGGCATAAAGACAAAAAGCCTCCCTCTTCAATAACAATTAGATATTCTCCAGTGGACATATATTGTGTGTTTCCTTTTGTCTCCGTTCAGTCTTCTCAATAATCTTCAGATTTCTATAAGTACTCTTTCATTATCTGCACATGCTACCCCCAGTGACCTCCTCCGTCTGTTTCTCGTTATGATATATGACAAAGGTAAAGTTTTAGTTATTCCAAGCAGGAGACTGCCTCGTTGCCATCATGTCCTATTTCCTCTATCACATCTCTCTTTCCTCAATCCACAACTTACTTTTGAACATCCTCCCAACTGTGCAGGCCTCATCTGTGGTTGCCGTACATATTCCTCTTCCTCTAGAGCAGTTTTCTCCAGGGAACTGGAGGTGACACATCCTACATTGAATAACTTTCATAGCTTCATAAGAGAATAGGGAAACAGAAGTGAGAGATGATGGTGCTGTCATGGAAGGACCCACCTTCCTTTTTTAAGTTTGAAGTCTGCTTGGAGCCAGAGGGCTTTGCCACAGCCCCATAAAGCATGAACCCTTATTAAAATAGTTTAAGAAAAGAGAGTAAGTGAAGTTTATGGACTTGGGAGTTTGACTTGAAAAACATGCAGAAACAAAGAAAGATAAGTAAGGAAAAGAGAAACTCATCAACACTGAGATGACCAGATTAGGTCCTCTTCATACTCACTGGAATAATCTTCATCAACAATTATTTCATCTGTGTTGGCAAAGAAAAATAAAAGAAATCTGTGATTTTGCCTAAGATTTACCCCCGAGTATAGCCCTAGCCGTCTCTCTCCTCAGGGCCCATTTTGTACTTTTAGCCTGGAGCCATGCTAGGTTCTCTCTGTCCCTCCAAAGCTTAGTCACCTACTCATACCTTGCACCTTGCACCTCTTCTGTCCTTTCAGTTCTCTTCACCACATTAGGGCTTCTCAGATTCCCCTACTCATCCCTATAGGGTACAGGACAGACCAGAAAGATGAGGATAAATGCACATTTTTTTTTTAAACTTCATTCTCTTCTTTCCAATTAACTCTGTGTGGCATTCTTACAGATGCATGCCTCTAATGTGACAATGGGGACAAGCATCTGAATTCATGAAGTTGCTATACTTTATCTTTGGACAGCTAGGTCTGTAAAGTCTACCTTCCCCTCCCCCTGTCTCTTTCATTTAGCCTTGTTGGTGGTTACTAATGTTGTTTTGCCAACTCTAAAATTATCTCCCATCCTAGTTCTGTCCTGTTGAAAGAAGGGATTGGGTATTGAAACTCAAGGTCTTTCGTGGCTTCCTTTCAACCTTCAGTGCCCACCCAGCCCCGCTCATCCCCTCTCTTCCTGCCTTCCTCCTTTCATCCATTTCTACTCACCTGGGGTTTTACCAAATGACAATGACCCAGATAGTACTGTTGAAGAAAATAAAAAAGAGAGAAGCATTCTCTGCAGATCTCATTTTCCAAACCCCATCTCACAGTTTCTGTGATAATCCTCTTTTTTTTTTTTGTGGTGCTAGGAATTAAACCCAGGGCCTTGTGCAAGTGAGGCAAGCAATCTGCATCCCTAGCCCTGTGATAATCCTCTCTATTGCTCTGTAATCCATCTATTTCCTTCTATAAATGGAAGGCTATAGTTTTGGTTAAGGTCCCAGAGAATTAACACACTGTAGGTATAGGCATGGCATAGAGTGAAGCTCATCATGCTTGTCACCACAGAGAATCTCTGTCATGGGAGGTCACTCCTAATCCCCACTTCTCACCAGCAGTTGGCCTTAGAGACTCACCCCTAAGCCAGCAGAGCAAGATGAGGAGTCCCAAAAGGGGGTGCTTGTCCATTTTGGAGGGAGAGAGGCCCGGGTTAGGACCTAAAGCTTCTGTGAGGACCTATTTATACACTTGCAAGTTGAGCTTCCCCAGGAAGGATTGGGGGAGGGGACACTGTGGAAGTCCTTGGAGGGCATGTTCTGCTCCTGAGGAAACTAGTAGCTCTGCAGTTTCTCTTCTTGGTAACTTGAGGGAAGAAGACCTGGCTAAAAAAGTCCTGGATCCTATTTGTTCCAGTCTTACCACTCAGGATTTTTGATGCCAAGTTTTATGTTCTTTTCAGTCTCTGGCATTGTGAAAGGGCACAGGATAAATCAGAGCTGGATGTGTGGGATTCAGAGTGGTTCACACCAAGTACCCACTAAACCTGAGGAAATACATAAGTATAAATAATTAGAATGTGGCAAGGCAAAAAGGAGGCTGAGCACAGACACTAATAACAGGGAAAGAACAGCCTTCTGGATGTCTCCGTATCTCTCCTGAACCTCCAACAAACTCCTGCTCTCTACTTAAAATAAGAGTTATAGAGCAGCAAGGCCATGCAATATTATGATTATTCTCCTCTACCTTGGAGGGGCATTCTTTATAACAATAAATAGTGTTGAAAAATGCTGTATTTTTACAGCTACCATAACCAATGACAATTATTAAAAAATGTTTAACACTAACTGAACAATTCAGGTCTAAAGGCTAGAGGCAGCATTTGATTATAGTGGACATTGTTACAGGATACACCGAGTCTATTTTTAATGTACCAATCTTGTTTATAGCAAAAAAAAAATTTTCCAGTATTTTAATAAAGTAGAGGTATTTTATAGGGGATACTTGAAACCAGTATTTAAGCTTTAAATGACAGTAATATTGGCATAGAAAAAAGGTAGCAAATGTTTACCATGTCAATTTCTAATGTTTACTATATAGAATTTCCTGTAATATATTTATATACTTTTTCATGAAAATGGATTTATCAGCTGTTTGTAACTGTGTCATCTGTTTGTAATGTATCATTCTCACTTTGTAAATAAAAATACACCTTAAAACATGAAAAAAATTGTATCTAGGGAATGGAGAAGAGAGGAGATGGAAAGGTTAGGCTCACGGGTCATGACAGGGAACTTTCATGAGGGGACTAAACTTTCCCACTGTCAACCAACTCAGAAGGAAGCAGATCCTAGTGTAGAAGATAAGGAGAAGGGAAATGCTTCCTTTTCTTGGTGTTTCATGGTGGTCAGGACTTAGATTTTAGTCAGGTGAGAGGTTTATCAACCTTTTCCTGGAGGGAGATAAGCATGTCCCTCTCACATTATGTCAGGCCAGGTTACTAAGCAGAGGGCTTGCTGAACCTCCTCTGGAGGGGACTGAAATTGCATATTTAAAGAAATGTAACTATATCTCATTCTAAGTTCTCTGTTAGTTTCCTTCAGTTACCACAGTAAATTGTAATGAACTTTGTTTAGTTTGTGTGGTTATTGTGGACAACTGAGGGAAGGGTGTGATTAGGTGAGGAATTCCTTTTTGACAAAGTAGAGGAAGAGAACCTTTCTTCCTTTTTTGAGGACTGCCATTAGACAAAGGATAATACCTAGGACAATAAAGCAACACAGAGGAGGAAAACAGGTAGAAATAGGGCATAACATGGTGTTTAGAAAAGTGGAACAGTGATCTATGCCAGATGTTGGGTAAAGTGAAAGGCGATGACAAAATGGATGTGCAGAAATTTTTGGATTCATGTTGTTTTGGAAGCTATCATGTGTGAAAGGAGTAAGCTGGCATTTCTAAACAAAGAGGAAGACAGGTACACACTAGGTAACTGCTTACCTGGAGGCTCCTAGTATCTTAGTGAAGCTTTGAAGTGTCACCATTTTTTAAAATACCTTTATTTTATTTATTTACTTTTATGTGGTGCTGAGGATTGAACCCAGGGCCTTAGCACTTGCTAGGCAAGCACTCTATCACTGAGCCATAACTCTAGTCCCACGGTTTTTTATATAATACACATACAAAGGCACATGCATCACACACACACACACACACACACACACACACACACACACAACCAGCACTGATTTTTGTGTTCTGCATATTCACCAGAAGCCCTTTCCCTTTGCTTCCTCTCAATTGCCCTGAATTATAACATTTACTCTTGCATTTTTATATTCTATTCTCCTATCTGTTGAAATCTTCCCTTCTTTCCTCCCAGGAATTCCACATTCAATCCTTTGTCTAATGGCAGTCCTCAAAAAAGGAAGAAAGGTTCTCTTCCTCTACTTTGTCAAAAAGGAATTCCTCACCTAATCACACATCTGTGATATTATTACACCACTTTTTTGACAGCTGCTGTCATGATCCAACCTGGAATCCTTGCTTATACCTAAGTCCTATTTTATTGACTTGCTTTTCCCCTAAAATCTCCCCCAAATTATGCTTCCTATCTTATTAGCTCTAATCCTTGATTGTTAAAATATTCCTACTCTGTTCCTTTTCAGACTCTAATCCTTTTTTCTTTTTACTTTTAGGTATTTCAAGGTAATTCTAATTCTTGTGTCATAAATTTCAGACCCATGACTAAAAAGAATTCAGGAATCCCCTTTTTCCTATTGTTCCAAACCCTATTTAAGACCATAAGGCCTCCCTCCCTAATAGAGAGTTCTGAAGGTATATTTAGTTCAAGAGAGTGATCTCCGGGTTGTACTTCAACTCTGAGAAAGACTAGTTAGTTAATTGTGACCCTATGTGTTGATCAGAAGATGTTCAAATTATGGGCAAAGATCTTTAGTTTGTATCTCCAGTTTTATGCATGTCAATAAAAAGAATATTTTTTGGATGGAAATTTACCTTATTTAAAAAATAGATCTACTCTTTTCAGGTAATATAGGAAAATACATGATGAATTTCATTGGTCCCTGAGATGTCTTTACATAATAACCTCTGTGAATAGGTGATGAAGCTGGTAATGAGCAGCAGGATTTGAGGAAGGAGGCCTCAGTAAAGATCCCCCATGTGATAAGGAGAGTAAACTAGAGGAAGAACCACAGTTGCTATTCCAATGCAGCATAGATGACTTTATATTCCTGGAGTTTCCCCAGGGCCCATAGGACTTGTACTAATGATCCTGGGGGTGGGGGAAGAACAATTTTTTTCCCCGAGGCCTTCTTCCTCAAATCCTGCTGCTCATTACCAGCTTCATCACCTATCCACAGAGGTTATTATGTACAAACATCTCAAACACCAATGACATTTAGCATGTATTTTCATGTACTACCTGTGAAGAGTAGATCTATTATTAAAATAAAGTAAATTTCCATCCCCAAAATACCCTTTTTATTGACAGGCATGATAACACTGGAGATACAAACTGAAGATCTTTGCCCATAATCTGAACATCTTCTGATCAACATATAGGGTCATAATTAACTACCTAGTCTTTCTCAGAGTTGAAGTTCAGGCAATGGTCAAATCAGAACATCCTGTCCCTTTCCCCTCAGGCAAGTGAACAGCACAGCTCTGGGTGACTAGAATTAGAAGAAATCAGAGTTCTATCCCTCTTGAGGGACTTGAAGGACAGAGGAAATATCTAGACAGCATGTGTGAATCTGAGAAAGACTATATAAAAACTGTCTCTGGGGAGCTTTGTGTGTATTATTTTCTACCATGAGACTTGCCATCCCCTAGGATTTTCTGGGAATCTAATATGTTTCAATTTCTTAGAGAGTTTTTTTCTATTGTGCCAAGGGTTGAAGAAGATATCACAGACATTGAAGTTAGTAGGGAGGTAGATTTAGGATTCAAAAATGAGGAGATAGTCAATAATTTACCCATTATTCCAACAGTAGCATAAATTAAATAAAATTTCCTGTATTTTTAATGCTGCATCAGCAAATCTAGCTACACCTGAGAATTCTTTCTAAAGGTAACCTCAGCTAGGGAGAAATTAGGGATTCCTCCATTATGTACAATGGCAAATTCACCAAAATATGGAGTCCATGCCCCAAGGCCTCTTTGTAACCTTCCAGTCTGCTCAGGTGGCACATAATTGCCTGTATGGCTATTCTTACTTCATAGTTGTTTAATATTTTCCTCCAGACTATAAAATAATCTGTGTTCAGAGAAGTTATCCTGACAATCTTACCTAAGCAATTTTCCCCTTGTTATTTTCTCTCTCTCTGTGTGTGTGTGTGTGTGTGTGTGTGTGTGGTGGGGATGTTATATTGGTAAAATAATACCTGGACTAGAAAAGGCATGAAACATACATTCATATCTTAAATTATTTAAAGGAAAGAGTATAAGCTCTAAAATAGATCAAAATATTAAATTTTGTCCATGCCACAGAAAACCCCACACCAAGGGCTCCTTACTAATCACATTCTGTTTTTCCTTTTTTAGCATTATCCTTGAATTTATGGAATCTAGCCATCATTTTATTTTATAATTTATTTTATTCTATATTTTGCCTGCTTTAAATATTGATATAAGTGAAATCATGTACAAGTTCTAGGGATTACTCATGTATTTATATAAAGCTTTATTTTTCTACAATATAATGTTTCATTACATGAATATTATGGCTAAAAATTTCCTAGTGTTCATGGAAAAAACCAGCCAGACATTCAAGAAGCCCCAAAATCCGAAGCATGAGAATGACATTTCAGAAGGAATATTTAGACAGCCGAATAATCAATTAGGAAGAAACTACGTTATTGTGATGATATTTTCAATATGCCAAGGGAAGATAACCACCAACATTTTCTCTGCATTCAGAGAGAATTTTCTTAAGGGTTAAAGTGAAATAAAGACATTATTAAACATTTTTTTAATTGGTTGTTCAAAACATTACAAAGCTCTTGACATATCATATTTCATACATTTGATTCAAGTGGGTTATGAACTCCCATTTTTACCCCGTATACAAATTGCAGAATCACATCGGTTACACATCCACATTTTTACATATTGCCATACTAGTGACTGTTGTATTCTGTTATCTTTCCTATCCTCTACTATCCCCTCTCCCC